TAAAGTACATTTTTCTGATACACTTCTACATTTCTGACATTGCTATAAAGGGTGTTTCCAGAGGGTGGGTCATGATTTTTTCAAGGTAACATAACATAACATAACATAACATTTTCGACTCACTCTGTATACTTCTTGATGCATGAAAGAAAATTTGTTCGCTCCTACATGAACTTCGATCCATCAAAAATACATGCATGTCCTTTTTTCCATGCTCTATTAAATTTATTGAATTATCTAAATATTGCAGTTCATTCACAAAATGTGCAAGTGAAAATATCGAAAAATAATATCCGTGCAATCCTATATTTACGAAATTGGTATTTGATGTGCCCTGAATTGCTGATAAATGTCCTGGAAGAATTTGAAAGGGCACATACCATCTATCTTTATGTCATCTCCAGGGCATATTGAGAAATTCGAGCACCCTCGATATTACGCGATCTTATTTTTTGTTGCCTCTTTAGACAACTTCTAATTTCATGGTCCAACACCGGCGCTTTCCTGCCATTGACCCTTTTCCAATTCTCTATCCCCTGTATTTAATTAGAATATTTTTCTCTGACAGCCAATCTGTTTCAGAAAATACAAAGAAGGATGTAGAGAAACAGATGTGGTTGGTTGAAAATAAACCTGTATTTTCTTATCATTATCCACGTAAAAATTAATTGAATATTTCAGAATTCAAGTTTTTTTATGTTCTGTTTTTTCTTATCATTATCTACGTGAAAATGAATCAAATATTCCAGAATTCAAGTTTTTCTTTATGTTCTGGTTCCCACGAAGAGGGATATCCTGTAATGTACAGAGAACATCGTGAGAACCAAGGGAAATGAGGTAGGAATTGGTGTTCTTCTTAAATTTCTGGAGGTTATATGCCTCAGGGAACATCTTCCTTGACAATGTGTTCCAGAGCCTCGCTGTTCGTTGGATGAACAAGTCTTTGGAAGAAGATGTTCTGCAGGTCTCCAAAGTGACGACGAAGCGAAGCCACAATATGCATTCTCTCAGAGGAATTTTCTACAGTGTACAAGCCTTCTCTTTCGAACACCATATATACCATGGCAGTTGTTGCCTCAATAAGATGGATTCACACCTGCAAGAACTCCAGTTTTGCTCATTATCCATTGAAGAGTCCGACGTGGATTTCCCTCTGATTCTCTACTACCTTCCTGATCACCCTTTCTTGGCACTGTCACCTTTTGGGTGGGCTGAGTCCACTGTCAGAACATGGGTCCTCTGTGGACTCTCGCGTTTTTTCTTCGGTCGAGGTTGATGGTTCCGACACTCTTTATGTTTACCATTAGACTTTCCAATCTGGTCCACACATGGAAATGAGCCTGATGAAACACTATGTCCAAGTTAATGATAGGTATATTTTATTAGGTGGAGATCTAAGCGGTGATATACAGGGTGTCCCACTTACCATGCTCACCATGGGTATCTTTTAAACGGTGAGAGATACGAGGTCGGTTAAATGACACCAAATGTGGAGTTTGTCAAGGCCAACTATAATGTGAAAAAATATTTTGATAAAATCTATTCGTTTTTGTTTTATACGCAAAAAACAGATTTTGATCATTCTCATGTCTCCTCCGTAACTTCTTTATTTATGAAAATATTCAAATATGAATTTCACATTCTCATGGCAGTTTTTCAAAGTGATTTCGAATAAAATATGAAATTTATACCAACTCTTCTAGAATTTGAGATAACTTTTTTTTCTCTTACAGATGATATTATGTCGCAGTAATAGTTTTGTGTTGATAACAACGGAGTTATCGTCATTTACACAAAAACAAAAAATTATTTGGAAGCCGCCATCTTAAATTTATGAATTTTATCAAAAAAATCATGATCTCCGACCTCAAAAACACCCACTTACCAATTTTGAATGGAATCGGACCAAATCTTGTCCGCCATCGTGGAGCAGTCATTTTTTTTAATTTCAACAAAAATTCCTTAATTTATTGTCACCAAAATTATGAACACCTGCCAAATTTCAAATTAATCGGAATTTTTGTTGAAATAAAAGAAAGGCTACTCCAAGATGGCTAACAAGATTTGGTCCGATTCCATTCAAAATTGGTAAGTGGGTGTTTTTGAGGTCGGAGATCATGATTTTTTTGTTGAAATTTATAAATTCAACATGGCGGCGTCCAAATAATTTTTTGTTCTTGTATAAATGACGATAACTCCGTTGTTATTAACACAAAACTATTACTGCGACATATCATCTGGAAGAGAAAAAAAAGTTATTTGTAACTAAGTCATAGTGAACTATGACCTACATTTGAAAAACTAAAGTTGGTGCTGATATCTCAAATTCTAGAAGAGTTGGTATAAATTTCATATTCTATTCGAAATCACTTTGAAAAACTGTCCTGAGAATGTGAAATTCCTATTTGAATATTTTCATAAATAAAGAAGTTACGGAGGAGACATGAAAATGAACAAAATCTGTTTTTTGCGTATAAAACAAAAACGAATAGATTTTATCAAAATATTTTTTCACATTACAGTTGGCCTTGACAAACTCCACATTTGGTGTCACCTAACCGACCTCGTATCTCTCACCGTTTAAAAGATACCCATGGTGAGCATGCTAAGTGGGACACACTGTATGTATATCATATAGATGACAATGATAAAGATTTAATGCATGAATTTTGCTTTTGTAGATCAGAGCTTCTAATCACCAGGAAAGTGGAGGAAACATATCACGAAGGGATTTCCTCCTTATTCTACTGTTTGAATTGAAAGAATAGGTGGTTTAATGTGGTTTGAAGAAATCAATCTATCTTATCTTGAACATTCAACGGAGTATGAAATGAATTCGAATTGAGTGATATTTTTTGCTTCCTTCGATTCAGAATTTTCTTTTGAATTCAACAATGAATCACACGTTGACCCTTTTGTGTATAAAACATGGAAGGTATTTTTCTTCCCGAATCGTTGAGTTGGTTATAATATTATTCATCAGCTATTTGATTGTTCAATAGGAGTTTACCTAACAAGTGCGAAAAGTGATTCTTTTATACGCTCGCGATTGCAGATGGCCGAAAGACGCTTAGCAGAGTTCGGCCAGCATTCGAGTGCGGAAAAGTCACAGTAAGGTACCCTTTTTTTTTACTAGCGTGCTGAAAAAAACCAAATGTTAACATAAAGAATCATTCATTAGTATTAAATATTCAAATATGTCAGTGTTCTCCCCAGAAACTCGACAAATTTGATTTTTCACACTATTGTGTCAGTGTCTCTTGCAACACTATAGAATGAGAGCGGAAAAGTGGACTTCTCCGCACGCTGGTAAAAAAATTAATTATCATTTTTTGTTTCAACATGATTTTCCTAATAGGAAATGATTATGATATATCTCACAGCAATGATTATAGGTACTTAGGTATACGTGGTTGAATATCACCCGAGATTTTTGAGTGCCATGATATTTCATGAATCTTGAATGGCAAATTGTAACAGTATTTCTCATCACCTTGTCATCGGATATTGAATACAAAACACAAATAGGTACTCATACCGTAGCGAAATAAAGGGGACGTTATATTATCCGAATCACTATGTAGTAGCTAAAACGTAATGTATACCATAAATACTGAAGTGGCAGGTTTATGTTTTGGTAGGACATTAATAGATGGGTGCCCGATATTCCGCCCCAAGGCCTCTTGAATGCATTTTTTTAACATTACCAATCTATGGTATGTGCCAGTAAAATTTATCGGTTTTCGACAGTTCGAATTTTATGGGTTCATTTATTATGAAAACTATTCAGCGAGTCAGTGGAACCGGCATACCTAGTGTCAAAGAAAATCTTATGCGACAGTTATTTTGGGATCAATCTAGAAGTATAATTATTGTTTGATTTTTAATACTGCGTACCTACCTCTTTATAAAAGATCGTGTAATGAATCAACAAATAGGTAAGTAATATCATAGATGAAACACACTCGGTAATATTATCTCAGACGGATGACAGACAACTATGAGTGAAGACTATTTGTACCTACTGGGGTATCGATTTCATTCAATAATTATATGATGTTTAATCAAATAATGAGTAGTCATTGTCAGTATACAGTGAGTGATTGGATGTGGATAGTACATTCGACGATTCTGACGAACTGTGTATACCTATTGATTGCACTGATAAAATTATGAGCGTTGCTTTGCATCAACCGACATGGTTAGCCCCAACTGAAAAATCATCCAATTTTTTATTACAGGTGAGAAACGATGTGAAATATATTACTCAATAGATATCTATCACCAATTTCGAATGGTTTCTGTTTGTTTCGTAGGTATTGGTAGATATATTATGTACGATAGGTTTGGTGAATCAAGAGAGCAGCATTCCAATTCGAAGAAGGTTCGGGTATCTCCGACGCACACTCGACTCCCTACGAACATATACATACATAATGTTTAGACCAAAGTTCTTATTACTCAATGCTAATACAATGAATAATGACGAAATAAACTCCTTGTATAGTGACTCGATTTGTTGATTTGGTAGCTTGAATTTTTTACGTTTAGTGAAAATTGGTGTATAACCTGCTCAATTGGAATCTTAACATATTCACGATTATAAAATCGTCACTTTTTATTGTAGACCAACTATGCGATGTGGTGGCATATGAGCCCATCTGAACTTTCGGATGAAATCAAAGAATCAATCAAAATTTTGTGTGGAGCAACAGTTTGAAATATTCAAAGCGAAATCATCTATTAATTAAAAACTCTCCAAGTCGTCTCCACAACGTTTAATTTCAAATTCAAGAAGGGGGGGCATGTTTCGGACCCAAAAGGTATCCATCATCAGCCACAAAGAAACTATTGTGGCGAGAACAGAATAGTCGTGTGTCAACCGAGCTCCTCAAAATAAAGCTAATAAAACGAGTTGAAGTGGTTAGAAAATTATTTATTTCTTGCCAGAAGTGTAACTCTTCAAAAGTGAATCGTGCTGTGAATTTGAAATCAAAAATATGGTTTTGACTCGAGAAATCAGAGAGGAAATTGAATCGGCAGTTGGGCATGCTGTTAACAAATGTATTAAACACGATTCCTTCATAAAAACCATTGTGAGCAATGTGACTGAAGCCGTCGTTAAAACAATGGAAAAGAAATTATCGCAATTAGAGGTGGCAGTGGCGGACCTTCAGAATAATTATACTGAGCTAAAATCAGACTATGAAAATAAAATGGAAACCATGGAAACTAAAATAAGACAACTCGAGTCACAGAAAAATAAGACCGAAGAAAATATGGATAGAATGGATCAGGAAAGCAGAAGAACAAACTTGAGAATTTTCAGTTTCAAGGAGAATCAACAAGAAAACACAAGAGAGGAAGTTATCAAACTTCTCAACTCCAAGATGGCTCTGAATTTAACAACTAGAGATATTGAATTGTGTTATAGAGTTGGTAAACGAATTGATAATAAAAATAGAGGAATCTTCCTCAAACTGAAAAGTTACGAAACTAAAGAAGGAATATACTCAAAAAAAAAGTTACTCAAGGGCACAGGAGTTGCTATCAGAGAAGATCTCACCAGTGTGAGAGTTGAAGTATTGAATACATGCATCGAGAAGTTTGGTTTGAAAAATGTCTGGACCGGAAATGGAAAAATTTATCTTAATACAGATAATAGAGTAACCATCATCAAAACCAAGAAGGACTGTATTGACTTGCTGAAGGGGAGGAGAATAACCGGAAACAAATTATAGACATATTTTCGATATGGTCATTTCTGTTTTATCCTTTTTCATCGTTTGTATCACATTCAATTACACTTAGTTATCATTTATTCTTCTACTTTAACTTTCCTAGATAAAAATTATTCAGGAGTCTCAGGACAACGCTATATCGAGTTTATCCATGTTAGATTACTTGGAGGTGCTAGATGAAAACATTCAAATCGATACAAAAATAGTAGAAAATTTTCAACAATTTGTACAAAATAGGATCAACGGAGGCAAGCGAGGTATTGGTATTGCTCATTTCAACATACGAAGTTTGCAGAAACATCATGACGAACTTCTAATACATACTCAGATGGCAGAAGGTCTACTAGACGTAATCATTTTATCTGAAACATGGGGTATCGAAAATGTAAGTGATTTTTCCATTCCAAACTTTACTACTCATTATAATGAATCAACATACAATACATGTGATGGGGTAATTGTTTATACGAAAAATAGTCTAAATGCCACTGCTGTTATTTCACCTATAAATGAAACTAAATTTCTCAGGGTAACTTTCACAAATGACTCTTTATATCCACACAATACGATAGGAATTACAGCATACTACAGATCACCTGCAACAAATGTTCATAATTACTTAAACGACTTGGAATTATACATGGACAATCTAGTACTGAAAAATACAGAAGTCTACGCAGGAGATATAAATATCAACTTATTACAAATAGATTCACAGGATACACATAAATATCTCAATATATTGAATTCGAAAGGTTTCATATCATATATCAATCAACCAACCCGAGTAACAGAAAACACTGAAACAATTATAGACCATATATTTGTAAGGAAGGGAAAATCCACTGATAACATCGAAATCCAACCATTTATTATCCACACTGATATAACTGACCATTTCACGCCTTTTATTACTTTAAATTCACCCGAAAATAAAAACAATGAATCTGCGACAAAAACAGAATTCACAAAAAAATATATAGATTATAAAAAGTTGAATGACTTGGTGAGTAAAGAGAGCTGGCGAGAGGTTCTGGCAAGTATACAAGTACAAGAATCCCACGACATATTCATAGAAAAACTAAACATATTCATGAATGATGCAACTAAATAGTTCAAACACTTTAAAATTAAAAAAATTCAAGAAAATAAAGCCATGGATCACAGATGGCCTGATTACCTCCATTATTAAGAGAGACAATTTGAAAAAACAACTAAAAAAAAACCACTCTGATCTAATGCTCATAAAGCAATACAAAGATTACAGAAATAAACTAAACTATCTGATCAGAAGGACGAAAAATGACTATTATCGAAAAAAAAAATAATGAGGCAGGTGGAAATTATAAAAAGATTTGGAAAACAATTAACGATATGAAAAAAAAAATACCCGAGATATAACGAACATAAAAATAATGAATAATAACGCGGAGCTTATATCAAATAATAAAGAAAAGGCAAATATATTTGTTCTATTTGCTACTATTAAACTGAATATTGAGCAAAAGATCTTCGAGTGGAAATAAAATAAATGATGGTAATGTGAACACCGTTTATTTACTACTCCTGCTTTCGCCTACACACCGTTCAGGTTCAACTATATGCCCTGTACAAAAAACAATGGGTTTTTATATGGCTCTTAATCGGCTATTTCGGATTTATTATATACCTATATATATATGGATATATACATATATAACACCTCCCCACTCAATCAAAAACTAATCTACAACAAGTCTATCCGGTGGTTTTATCTGACTGCGGCGTCTCAAAGTACGCCCTATATCCGAACCATAATTTCCACTAGTCACTTCATTGGAACGGACATTTGTTTCGCGATTGTCTTCGGTTACCGCACTATTTACAATATTTACACTGGTTGTAGTCAAACTTGATCGTGGAATGATCGAAACATTATTTCTTTGATTTTCTGATACATGATTTGCCTTCAGCTGATCAATATGCCTTTTCCAATTTCCACCATCAGTTTTCACTACATAAGATTTTTTACCCAAAACTTCCTTCACTACACCGGTACACCACTGCGGCATATGAGATCTGAAATCACGTACCCAAACTGTGTCATTTTCTTTGAAATACGTATTTCTTTTTCCTGGATAATATTTTATTTGGTCATTCTGTTTCCTGTCAACATTCACTTTTGTCGAAGGAAAAAGAAGATCAAATTTCGTACGCAAGTCCCGTCCCATCAACAATTTTGCTGGTTTTTCCCCAGTAGTAGTGTGGGGCGTATTGCGATATAGAAATAAATACTTGTTGATGATCAAATTAATATCTTCATTTTTATTTTCGTGTTTACCCTTCAAAATAGCATTTTTCATAATTTTTACGGCGCTTTCTGCCAAGCCATTTGTAGCGGGGTGATATGGTGCCCCTGTCAGGTGTTTTATGCCACTGGCACTCAAAAAACTTTGAAACTCTTCCGAAGTGAACGTTGTCGCATTATCGGTACAAATCTCGAAGGGTAAACCGAACCTAGCGAATAAACTACGAAATATTTTTATAGTGGTATTGGTTGTCAGATTTGCTACTTCAAAACATTCGATCCATTTCGATGTTGCATCTTGAATAACTAAAAAATTTTTGTTGAAAAGTGGTCCAAAAAAATCAGCGTGTAGTCTGGTCCACGGGTCCTTGGGCCAGTTCCACACTGTCAAATGGGATTTTGGTGGATTACTAGCATGAACTCTGCAAGCTTCGCAATTCTTTGATAAACTTTCAATGTCGCTATCGATTGAAGGCCACCATACATATGATCGTGCGAGTGCCTTCATTTTCACTATTCCTAAGTGCGAGCTATGTAATTCGTCCAAAATATAATTTCTATATTTTTCAGGTACAACTATCCTATATCCCCACATCAAACAATCTTGCTCAACCGTAATTTCTGTTCTTCTGTTAAAATAAAATTTAAAATCGCCAGCTGGACACACATGTGGCCATCCATTGCGAACGTAAAAAATAATTTTTCCTAGAATCGGGTCACTTTTTGTGGCTGTTTTGATTTTTTTAAAATCAATTGGCATATCTGATTCATTTATGTAGTTCAAATATGAAATATCTGAGGGAGAATTCAAATAAGAACCCTTTTCATTATCTTCTACACTTTCCAACGACTGTCTCGACAAAAAATCTGCGGTATTTTTTCTTGAACTGATATATTTTATTTCATAATTAAATGCGGATAGGATATGTGCCCAACGTTGCAAACGATTTGCGGCAAAAACTGGTAAACCTTTTTTATCGCCGAATATTGTTAGAAGTGGTTTGGCGTCTGTAAAAAGTAAAAACTGTTGACCGTAAAGGTACTGAAAAAACTTTTTCACTCCAAAAATTATAGCAAGAGCTTCCTTTTCAATCTGCGAATAACTGAGTTCAGCTGAATTTAATAAACGAGATGCAAACGCTATCGGCTTTTCTGAATTATCATCAAATATGTGGCTCAAACACGCGCCTAATGCAAACTGCGATGCATCAACTGAAAGCTTAATTTTTTCATTTGGATTAAAATGTGCCAAGACTGAAGACGATAATAACATGCTTTTTGCCATTTCAAAACTTTTTTGGCAATCCTTAGACCATACCCATATTGCATCTTTTTTCAACAATTGATAAAGAGGTTTTAAAATATCTGAGGCATTGGGGATAAATTTACAGTAGAAATTAACCATTCCTAAAAAAGATTTCAACTCAGTAATAGTCTTAGGAATCTCTGCAAGCTCAATTGCCTGAACATTTTCGTCTGAAGTGTGTAAACCTTCTTTGTCGATTATGTGACCCAGATACTTTACTGACTTTTGAAATAGAGAGCATTTTTCTTTTTTTACCTTGAGGCCACATTCCCGCAACCGACCAAAAACATGTTCTAATCGTTCAAAATGTTCTTTATCATTTTTTCCCGTGATTAAAATATCATCCAGGAAACACACGACCCCTGGTAAAATCAACATTTGTTCCATAATTTGCTGTAAAATCGCTGGTGCACTTGTAATTCCGTATGGTAACCGAGTATAGGAAAAAAGTCCTTTGTGGGTAGTTATAGTGACAAATTTTCGGCACTCTTTTGTCAAAACCACCTGTTGGTAGGCTTCAGAAAGGTCGATTTTCGAAAATTTGTCACCCCCCTGTAATTGTGAAAATAAAAATTCAATTCTTGGCAAAGGAAAATGTTGAACTTCCAAATTCGGATTTAATGTAACTTTAAAATCACCACAGATTCTCAAGCCCCCATTTTGCTTTAATACTGGAACAATGGGAGTTGCCCATTCCGAAAATTCTGTGGGTACTAAAATACCATTGTCTACTAATCTTTCAATCTCAGCGTCAATTTTTGTTTTCATAGCAAATGGAACCGGCCTTGGTTTGAAAAATTTTGGCACCGCTCCTTCTTTCAGTTTCAGTGATACTTCGAATTGGTTGAACGTACCTATTCCTTTGTCAAAAATGTCTGCATACTTAACTAACAGTTTCTCAATTTTTACAGTTGAATCTTCAAAGTGCTCAATCTTACATTTATCACTTGTATATTGTATTTTACAAATACCTAATTTTAACATGTTTAGACCATTTCGGCCTATGAGTGGCGGACCACCATTTTGAATAACATAGGTTTTCAAGCTGTAAGGTCGATTCTCAAATTTAATGTTCAAATTTATGAATCCAATTGGCTCAAAAGTGATTCCTACATAATATCTTAGTGCTAGATCATTTTTTTGCAATTCTTTCATTTGGAAGTGTTTCAGATAAAGTTTTTCAGAAATTGCTGAATGGGCGAACCCGGAATCGGCTTCAAAACTCATAGGTATATTTTCAACATTCAATTTAACAAAAGTAGGTTTTACATTCCCTTTAGTATCTGTTGAAGCTGAATCTTGGTGTACGCTATGCAAATTGAAAATAGATTCCTCATCATCATTGTCTATTAAAGAATCGTACAAATATTTGTGAGAAATTCTCTGGCACTGAGGAGCTAAATGCCT